GTAGTCGTAGTCGTAGTCGTAGTGGTAGTGGTAGTGGTGCACACTTTCACGGGATGTTCAACAGGGTTCTGTGAACCCTGGTTGCTTCTGCGAGCCTTTGGGAGGAGGCGTTTGCATACCTGGCCTGTTTGCATACCCCGATCAGTTTGCCCTGATTACATGTCAAACAGCTTCTGAAAGAGATGTGTTCTTCAAGGTGCACCTGTGAAAGCGGGGCCTGCTTCTCAGCCAGCGGAACCGCACTGCCCACTACACATCACTCCACTGCCAACTGCAAGCCACTCCATGGTGGATGGACAAGGCCTTCGGGCCCGGATTCGGATCACCTGAACTGTTCGCCTCATGGACGAGACTTGAACATGTTCAGCTACCAGGGTCATCCTGGACATGGGTGTCCTGGCTAGACTACCCTAGGTCTCCAAACAGGGCACCCATTGGAAGTGCTAGGTACCTACCTATCAAAAAAGACTTGCAGAACGTTTCAGCCTCCCCGAAAAGAGCCTGGCAAGGGGCACAGCTAGCTCTGGCAAGACCACTGACCGGTTGATGAAACATTGCAGGATTGTGCTTACGTCTGACTTGCCTACGGAACTCACAATATCGCCATTACCAAACCGGTATCACCTTGAGTAAGATTCATCATCCCCACCCCCCCCACTGTGATAGCCAAAATGCTTCTTTTCGGGATCGCTGAGAACATCGTAGGCCTGCGAATCACAAGTGTTTTCATGTTTATGTCTCCAATTCAATGTCTTTCGATGCCTGAAATTCATTCTATCACAAGCAAGGACTGGGATGGTGATCCGAGATGCTCTCTGCAAAGAGTTTCAGGTGCCACTTTCAGGCCTCAGCGATGTCTTTGAACTTGGCCTCGGCCTCTTCTCGCTTGTCCTGATCGCTGAGACACACGAGCTGGCCCGTATGTGCCATTGATGTACAATTAACCTTCTTGGAATTTCTGTACGCCGTATAGAACCTATAAGAGCTGGGTCAGTAAACTGAGCCCTTGACTAAATCTAGGTGTCCTGTTGCTAAGCCAGAGCTAGAACCAATCCCTCTCAAAATGAGAAGAAAAAACCATCCAATGCCTATAGGGTCCACTGTCAGGGTCGGCTCTTGGAGCTTCGTCTCGTCTCGTCTCGTCGTCGCGGCGCCTGGTTCTTGTCCGGGTGCCACTTGAGGGCGGCTCTCCGATACCTTGCCGGAAGTCGTGACGGTACCGTTTTGGACACGGAAGCTGGCCACGGAGCGAAGTCGTCCTTCTGTTTTAGAAGAAAAAACTGATGTGTCATGAGAAAACTCAGACTGCGGGGGGAAAGATGAGACGAAACATGAGACGAAACGAAGTCCTGCAACTTCTCCCATGAGACTTTGGACATCTTTTGGAACTCCTGCAAAGCATTTTTTTAACATCGCACCAAAACAAATCATATTCATAGTGACTTACTGGAACAACCCTGCACAGCATGTCTTTCAACATCGCTCAGCTAGAACCGTGTCAAAAAAAAGATCTCTTTATTGTAGACTCAATGTAGACTCTTGATTCAGAACCCCCCTTATGAAGAACAGGCTTTTCAATGAGTTTTGGGAGAGGTGATTCATCAAGAGTCTAAATTCAGATGATACGAAACCGGCCATTCATCGGTCAGCTGCTGCTGTCGAAACCGGCTGCGCACTTCGATCGAACCACTTCGATCGACGGTGAGCGGTTGGGGAGGTCGGAGCTGTACTTCCAGAGGGCGGAGCGGTGAGCGCAGCGAGAAGCAGCGAGAAGGCTGAGTAGTTTGGAACCCCAAAATAGAAATGTCACTGGAACTGCTGAGTATTGAGGTTCCCTGCAATGTGATTCTTCTTTGGAACTTGATCATCCTCAAAAAAGAGATTCCAAGCTTGGAGGGCTGGCTAAGGAGTGGGGTGTGTACTTGGTTTCTTCATGGACTTCATGGGCGACGAGAGGAGGCTTCGTACGCCAATCTGCCCTCCAGAAACAAATGCGGAGCAGCTGCGCTTTCTTGATGTCATCCTCACGAGTGGCAAGCTCCGTACGAGTGACGTGTGGGTCCCCAATGGTACAAGGACAGGCACACTCCAGGCAAGGGACCCTGTATGGTACACATCCCCAATGGACAGCCACACATCCGGTACAAGGGACTCCAGGCGTTCGCCTTGTCACACTCTGTGTATGCTGCATTGGAGTGGTTTGGGTGGCCGACATGGCATTCAGTCCGATGGAGTTTCCTTTTCGGTGTCCGTCCCCCACCGAAAAGCGCATCACCGGTGGATGGGACCGTGTTCGGAAGTGAAAGCCCTCAACTTTCCGGAGTGGGAGGCCTCTGAAGTGAAATCGGATGTGGTGAGAGCTGGGGTCAACAAGTACCATTTGATTCTAACACACCAATTCCAAGTCCAGGGCTTGGCTGTGTGACGGCAAGGAGTTCCAGTTCCACTGTTGTTGGAAATGAAACGAAACTTGAAACGAAGTCGAAGGAAACGGTTGAAGGAAAAGGCATCCAATTTCACCTGCAATATGGCAACTTCAACAAATGGTGCCTTCCCCAAATTCAGTGGACAGCAGAAAATTGAATTCTAACCAAACTAAAGTAAAGTACGGATTTGTGGGATGTGTGACCTCTCCTCAGTGATGGCTTCCTCTAATGTTCATTCACGGGGCATAGGAGGCATTCTGTGACCAAAGTCGGCAAACTGATCAAGTCGGCAAATGGATATGCTCATATATGCTCCATGATCGTGATACTACTGTCCTTTGTTGGATTGCCGGATGGTGGTTTGTATATGACGGCCGCGAAGAGCAAATTTGTTCTCTTCTTACTTTCCCAGACCATCCATGGGACTGCAATAGTCATATTTAGTTAACATGGATCTTACATGGAAACACATGAATCGTGTGCATATGGTAAATTTTTAACATATGATCTCCCGGTCTCCCTCCCCCGACCCCCTAATTACTCACTTCGTCAGGCCGCCCTCCGGCTGGCTTTCATTGTTATTATGTCACGCTTCCAGTCCAGTTTTTAGACGTTATTTTTGTTCCTACTGCTCAGAAGGCTTTTTGTCGCCGCTCATCCGCCAGGCCCCCTGCTGCCACTCCCCAGCCACCCAAACCGAACCCGCAGCACCTGGCTCGCTTTCTTGTCAACGCCCAGGATGCCATAGTAGTCTTTACCCATGGCGATTGGAGACGAGAAACCGACGAAAACGAGAACGTCAAACCTCCGCGGCGGGTGAACCAAACCGGGCTGGTATGAAGGATCCGTGTCGGTACCGTTACTTTTTGGTTGTTCTTTTGGCTGCAAGGGGCGTCAAAGATCCCCCAAGTAGTGTGGCTTCCACCAGCCAGGTGACCCCGACATGAAGTAGGTGCCAGTTTCTTTTGTATGTGTCATCTGTCAAACACTACTTTTGGGCAGGAATCTCTCACTTTTCGTCCATCTGTTTGGGTCGCTGAGTCGGTTCTTTTTGTGGTTCACTACCTCTCTACTTCTTCTTCGCAATAAACTTGTGTGTTTTTTTTGTGATGTTTTGTTTGAATTTGCTTACAAGTAACACTGTAGTGTACCTGGATGAATATTCACTATATTGAGTGGTGTGTCACTAGTGAGTATCATTCAGCCGCTCTGCAGTGAGTATCATTCAGCCGCTCTGCCCAGCACTTGCAGCTTGCAGCGATTTGAGCCAACTTCCATGCAGCTCACAGGTTTTCTCCGCAACTTCCAAGAGAGGTTAAGTCACCTGAACTAGGACCTTCCTGGGGTACCCAACTGGGATAGTCTACTACAGGGTCCTTCAACCTCTGTTGGTTGTTTTGGGTGCAAAGAAGATCCTTGTCCAGTTGTCCATGACGGTAGATCATCGATTCCCTGGAATCGGGGCCCTGATCTGATCTCCTCAATGGACAAGCCTGGGGCGGCAAGCCTCCGCGAAACGGCGTCACTGGTCACCCAGAAGCTCCTTTTTTGGGTATCCTAACATCATCCCCAGTGATGGTCTCCGGAGTAGTGATGGTAGTGATGGTCTCCCAGTGATGGTCTCCTTTTTCGAACGGAACGTCGGTAGTGAAGGTCTCCGGAGTCCGGTCGAAGTCGCGTGGTGCACCGTCCGTGTGCTCGCTGGACCAGCTATCCGCTCGGCCAAGCTGATCTCCATATGTCATGGCATCTCAAGCTCGCCCGAGTGCTGGTCCACCATGCGCCGGAGGTCAACCGCGCAGTGTGTGCCAACCCACCGTCAACTCAATGAAATCCAACTAGTGTGAGGAAACATGAATGGACTGAACTCGCTCACCCGGTGATGGACATCTTTCAATCATACTGAGATCAACCCGCAAACCGTTCAACTGAATTGGACTCTTTTCCTCGCTGACACTGAAAGCGAAGATGACTCTTCGCATCAAAGCAGAAACTGCTGCAGTGATGCGTGACCCACACATTAGCCGACCATCAAGAAATGATGGCATTGTTTAGCAGTTTATCTTTTTCTGCGGCCTTTCAGTCAGGGGGCTCCTCTGCATTCTTCATCTGCATAATTGCGGACCATTTAGGATGGTAGCAGTAAGTAAAGCATACTAAAGCTAATCCCTCAAGCACCATGTAAGATACAGGACACATTTCAGGAAAATAACACTGCAGGGTTCCAAATATGTCAGTGGATACAAAGGTTGAACAGCTAGTATCAAAAATCACGAGAAAATATTGGACATCATATCAAACAACCACAAAGAAATGTTGGACATCGAAAGCATGCGCAAGCTAAAAGCATCAAATAATAAGGTTAATCTAATATAGAGCTTACAACAAAAACCGGATGTCAGAGTGTTGTGGCTCCCCACCACACAAACTATATATATACATATCATCCCAGGACCTTCAGTACGTGACCTCTTTGGAGTCTGTAAGTGACCTCTTGATGGACTAAGTGACCTCAAACTGGGATCTCAAGGGCGGTCACTTTGAAGGTCCTGGATTACATATATATAAGTTCCTATGTCGTATTCTAGCATGCAAGACATCTCCCAAAACCATGGAAACTCCCTGGGTGCGTGGACTGCTCATGTCCGAAGCATGTCCTCTTCTTGATCCTTTTTGAGTGAGCCCCCATGCTGACCTGCAGGTCTCCAACGCAGTCAGAAGCCCGGCAGACTGGAGATCCGCTTCCTCAGAACGAGGAACAAGGCACCTGCGGCACCTGTGGGGTGGGGGCTTCCACCTGTGCGAAAATCTGAGGACACCGTGCATCGCTTTTCATCTAATTCATTGATTCAACGAGGGGGACCCTGCGTCACCAGCAAGCAATCAACAACACACAAACGAATGTACCAGCACCTTCAAAGGGGTCACCAATGGAAGCCGCTACACTACTTAGGGGTCTCCATTAAACACCCCTTTGAAGGTCCAGGTACTGCTTCCTTCACTAACGAACCTAAATGATCCAACAGACATGGCTGTTTGAGGCCAAGGAACCAACGACCGCTTTGGACCCGGTTTGGCCCAGGAACCACCTGCTGCCTCCCTGGGGCTCCCGTGCTCGGGCATCAGCTTCCGCACCAACTCGGCGGGGCAATTGGACATCTCCTGGCGACGAACGCTGAACTCGACGAACTCGTACAGCGCAGGCGCTGCGCGACCGGTGACCCGAAAGCGACCGGTGACCCGAAGGTTCGGCGCCAGCGAGGGAATAGTAGCGTTTGGTTTCAACGAATGAAAACGACCAGCGGGTCTGCATGGCCGCAGACCCGGCTGCGGATGTGGCGGGTTTTTGTTGATGAAGAGAATGTGGTGCAGCGAACACCCAAATAGCACCCCATGGGACTGGCAGGACTGAAATCCGATCAGTTGGGGTGGTGCCATGAAGGGTCTGGCTTGATCGACATATATGGCAGTCCCAGACTCGTCGTGTCTGGGACCAGTCAAACACACCAACCCAACAGCAAAACACACCTCCTGGCCGATCCCGTGCGCTCTCCGCATCGCTCCGCTCTCCGGCCGCGCGCGCGCGCGCGTTGGTGGATTCGGCAAAGCGCCGACCTGCTCGCTGAAGTTGAAGAGCTCCGAGGCCTGGACAGCTCGGTGTGGAGGCTGTGACTTCTGACAATCTGACCTCACCAAATATGTATCAGATATATATATATATATGTATCTGTATCATTCTGTATCAAATATTTGCTAGATATACATATTTTGAGATAAAACTATATTGTTCTGATCTCACAAAATATCTATCAGAAGCAATATCAAATAACTGTCATATGTGTGCTCTCATGTGTGTGACGTTGATATGAGTTCAAGCGATAGTCACTATTGATATTTGAATATATTTGATAGTTACACTTATTGGTGATATGAGTGTGGATTGGTTCTGATATCACAAATTATGTGTGACTATCGGATCTCACAAATGAGGTAGGTTGATGTCCTTGATGTCCGAAAGTATAGAAGGGAATGTTTTCGGACAGTTCAGATAAGTTCAGGTTAATTTTGGCAATAAATGTTCCCATCTGGCCACCTGGGTAGAAGCAAACATATGTGTATACCAATTGTTCGACAAGAAACATCAATTCTAAGTCTAAGATACTCTTCCAGGCTTAAAGCCTCATTGAATCAAAATCGTCCCAAGCTAAATAAAGAGCTTGTGGAGAAGCATGAGACAACATCTCACAGCAAAAGCACATGCAAAAAAAACATGCAAAGCGCAGATGTTCAATCCATGTTCATTCATGACTTCACCACGCAAACCTCTGGGATCGGATCGGCCGCGGCCTCCTATCCTTCGGTCCCTCGACTCGGGGGCGGGTGGTTGGGTGCCCCGGACCACCCGGGTCTTAGGCGGATTCTTCCGGAGCTCCGCGAAGAAGTCCGTGGCCTCGTGCCGAGGTCCAAACCGGGGGAGTCCTCCGTGCCTGCTGCACCCTGAGGATGATAGCTGGGTATTTTGCAAAGAATAGGAAGGAGTCTGAACAAGCACCTGAACTGGGTGGTGCTGGTATGTACGACTCAAACACTCCATGTATGGAAAAAAACATATATGCAAGTCCCCAAGACCCCTAACGTAGACTCTTGATTAATAACCTCCCTTATGAAGAGGTGTTTAAATTCAATTGGAGGAGGTTATGATCAAGAGATATCAAGGGTCTACATTAACTGGCTGTGGGTCATGACACCAGGGGCTGTGGGTTTGTTAGTTTAGGGTTTGGGGGTCCAGGTGGTAAACACACAGCCAACTGTGCAAGATCAATCAAACCGAATCAACCATAGTGTTTTGACATAACATGATTTATTATGATCTATTTACATAGTTTGTGCATATGTTGTGCGTGGTGGAATTGAGGATGACTTCTGTTACATCGGATCGTCACCAGGGTGATCCAACCAACCCAGCTGATGCGACAGGGTGACCATATTGATCCCGCACCTGTTACCTGGTTCCTTTACAGATCCATCGTACTTGACCAGTGCACCATCAAACCCGAATCCCCAAATCATACACCGAACCGAACCTGAAACAATCATGATGGAAGTGGATGGGAAGTGGAAAATAGCCCCTGGGAAGACCATGCTCCTCTGCAAACAGGGCGTTGTCTGCTTCCATGTTTGGAGGGAGGGGCATCTTTAAGACTAAGCGCAGGCCCAAACCTCCATTCGGACCAGTCCTGGCGTGAATCGAAGTACTGGCCTGGATGAGCCTCCATCAGCCCGTTCTCCGATACCAAATGCAAATTTCACTCACTTGCGCCACTAGCATCAAACAGATCAGCATCAGCCTCCAGCATCAAACAGACCACCTCGAAGTGGCCGTTCTCCGCTAGATGGCATGTTCATCTTGGATGTTGGGATTTAGTGGATGTTGTAGGGCTGCTTCAACTTCATTCAGCTGGCCATGTGAACAGGCAAACAAAAGTGCCTGCTGCCTGGCTGCATCGTCGGATTGAATCTTAAGGACCACCAGCTGGGACAGTCCATCGGCACTGTCAAGAAGTGACTCGAGAGTCCACTTCGCACAGCCCTTCATTGAGCAAAAGCCTCTGTCGAAACCTTGAAAAGACAGTCTCAGATGCTAGACACTTCTGAAGGGTGCCAAATTGGATGCAGTCTGTCACTTTCATTGATTGGATGCAACTCATGCACATCAAGCTCAGCCACAATGCTGCCAGAGAGGGACCTAATTAATCCTCAAGGACGTGTTCACCATCACTGCATGTTGTCGCAGCGACAGTGGTTTAAACTGGATGCAGATGATGTTGTGGGGATCACCAATGTATCCTATAGGCCTCAGAGCCAAAGCCTAAAGAGCACAGCTTTGTCAAACAAAGCAAGCAATTCTGGCACCCACGTTCTTGGCCTGCCAGTGGCGCAGTGAGTAGGCTTGGGATTTGGAACTGCTGCACCTGTTCCGATGACTGGAAAAGTGGTTGAACGTCTTTCGAAAGAATTCTGATCGAATCGGTCCGGTCAATTCCCACCAAGTGCTGGGTTCCCGAGCCATGGCTTCCAGGGGTTGTGGCCGCTGCTTTGGGTCGTACCTAAGTCGCGGTCTATGTGGTAAACGTAAACTGACTAGACTAGACAGCTGTAACGCAAGGTGCAAGCATGTATGTGTTCGTAGAAAAGCTCGAAGTCCAAAATAAATTTGAAATCCTTCAACACATGCAAACACAACAGAAGTCTTTATGGATCCAAACATGTTCACAAACACACATGGTTGACAACATGTAACGAGCATCTGGTTTTTCATTTGTGGACAAAACATCTCGGCACTGCAGATCGATCAAACAAATGTTTCTTGCATGGGCATGTTCCAGGCCTTTTTACAAACAACTACAGTATATTCCAGGACCTTCCAACAGGTCTCCGAAATGGTGGCTTTTGTAGACTCAAAATTTGTGGCAGGTGGTGACCTGTTGGAAGGTGCTGCTTTATTGTCCTTAAAAAGAACACACAACACATTCGTTTACCTGGAATTAACATGGTTACGTGGATGGTCTGACTCCTTAAGAAAGACCATATGCCGTCTACAAACAGGTGGTGCCATCCATCCACTTCAGCATGTTCACTCTGGATGTCATGGTCTTTTCAGGTCTTTTCCACTTCCATGTGAGTTCATTGGGAGAGTAGCATGTCATGTTCACTTTCACTCACTGCCCCCCTAGACGGCCGAGACCACGCGCGCCTGGCGCCTCCTGGGACCCCCGGGCTGCAGCGTCATCACCAGAAGCTCCTCCGCCTCACTGCCGCCGCCGACAGTCAGCTCAGCTCGGCTCGAGTTGGGCAAAATCGGCTCAGTTCGGCCAACGCAACAAATAAGGAGGCGCAAGTAGGAGGCGTTCGTTTAGACATGAAGATTTCTGTGAGAAGCCAACACCCTGAAATTCGTGCAACATGTGGAGGTTAGGTCACTGAAATATCAAGAAGAGATCAAAAGGCACTTATCTCATCTTATCTCTTGATATGAGCCTCAAGTGGACACTTTTGGGGCTCATGCGACCTCTGTTGGTGGTTAGTTTGAAGAAGCTGGATGGCCGCTCTTTGAAGACATCCAGGTCTATTTTCAGGATGAAGCTTAAATTTGACAGTAGGATATAGCCTTTAAATGAGTCAACAAAGTTGTAATTCTACTACAAGCTTGAGGTTCTACAAACTTGTGCAGAATACTTGGGAAGTACCGTACTACATACAGTAGTTCAATGCAGCATGAATCACTGGGAGCGCGCGTCAATCTAAGTAGCATGTCTCTAACAATGTGCTTGCTGACATCTGTTCACACAAATCACGTTTATAATATAATGGGATGTTGAGTTGAATGTATATCTCCTGCTCCAACCTTGGCACTCAAATCAACCCCTGAAGCTGGAATGCGTCTTGCCCGCTCCCCTTTGGCAAAAAGCACAAGAAGTGTCAGCAAGTCATCCTGCTGCAGCACCACCCAAGGATGATAGCATGGATGGCAAAGCAATATACAGTAGGGGGTCGTCGAGGTGGTGCTGGTACGTAAGAGCCAAACACTCCATGTCATTGAATATATATACAGTAACAGTCAAGACAGACCACCCCAAGTATACCCAGACACTCCATGGGACTGCCATATTGACCCCCCTGGCACCACCCCTGGCCTGATTGGCAGTCCTATGCCAGTCCCACGTGTCGTGTCTGGTGCCAGTTCCATTGGCCGTTGGAAGTGTCTTGACTCGCTGCATGAAGTCATGACCAGCATGCCGTCTGGACATGTCTGCCCCCAGTACCCCAGTACTGCCCGTGGACACCCCTGCGCAACGAGTAAGGTCACTTCAGAAAGAAGAAGTGATTCTCCGCGTCTAAGAAAAAGAACAAGCATGTACAACTTTAAGGAAGCGCTTTTTGAGGTGCGTACCTCTAGAGTCTTTCAACTGAAAAAGGCTTTTTAAGAGCCTCAAAAAACACTCCTTGTGCTAATACCACCCAAGGAGGATGCCGCCCCCTTCGCAGTCCACCCGATCCGTGGCGTGCCTGCGCACTCCAACGAGCCCGAAGGACTTTGCTCCACTTCAAAGGCGGAACTTGGGTGAAGACGACTGGCGCGGATCCAGTGGAACGGAACCGAACGGAAGGGAAGTCGGAACAGGGAGGAGTCTGGGACGAGAAGGTTCTCGTGGACGGAAGATCTCTGCAATGGGCCAGGGTGAAATATGACTTGAGATGATTTCAGGGGTCTTTTCTGGAGTCCAGATGAGTGTCTCAGCAGCTTGGAGAGTTTCTTCAAAGGCTTCCTGATCAGTGCTGGCAAAACCCGCTGCTGCACAGATTTGGAAGAACGCGCGTTGGGGCATAGAACAGCATGGCCTGAGTTCAAGAAACATGCTCCATCATAAGAATAAGAGGGCGCCAGCCTCTTGCCTCCCTGGTTCAAAATATACGCCCCTGAGTTCAATGGCAGTGGTTCCTGATCCGCACCGTTTTTTTCTTCTTTTCGAGCTTCGATGTCGGGTTTCCTGCAGAATGGTTTGATGGTTGGGGGCTTCTGTAGAATTGTCGATGTTCGTGGCCTCAGAATCTGAGCCTGATCGAACTGGTACCTGTCCGAAAGCCTCCTAGATCTTGATAAATCTGAGCCTGGACCTTTCTGAAAGCCTCCTATCCTTGAAGTTTGCGGGACATGACAGGTTCTTGATACCCTGCGGAATATTGACATGGACGCTGAAAACCACTTGAATTGTTAGCAACTTTCTTTACATGTTGTCTTTGCATTCAGCCCCGGCCTACGGCCAAGAGTCCAAGGGGAAACGAACCCGAGGAAATCAGCTTTTCAGGGTGCCATTCTCAGGGTCCATGTTAGTTTTCGGGAGTGCACAGTACAAGTAGGACTCTTGGTGGGATATGTTCTAAAGTGGACGAACCTGGTGTTCTTGAAGAAGCAGCTTGTTATTGACCAGATCCAAAACAAGTAAACCGAGGACGCAGCACAGCACCGCAAGTACCTCGCAGGTACCTAGCACGGCGGCACCTCCCGCATCGTAGAAGGGGTTCATCTGGACGAGCTGCTGCGTGTTGGGCGTGCCCAGGATCTGCCAACCGTGCGGTTCGGGGGAGGTTCCAGGCGGGGAGGTGCCCAGGTTAGGCTCCACCTGGGGTAGACTCCCGGAGAGTAGACTGGATCATGGATGTGTTGTGTGATGTTAGTGTGGTAGATCATGGATGTCCATCCTTCATGAAGAGCTTGGACGTTCGCCTCTGAGAAGATGTGACTCAGGACGTGAAAGAAGATGTCCGACCCACAACCCAACCCTGTGGCCACAATCGTCCCAAACAAAATGACAGTGTCTGCACATCCTCTTGTGACCGTTGAGGTTATCCTAGTCAAGTATCTCAAACAGTAGGCATGTGTGCATAGTATAATCCCAGTGACGTCCAAAACGCGTGAAGTCATGGTATGCGAGGTCCAATCAAATCATGTCTACCCGAGTATGACCAAATAGAAGCCGAGTCAACGGACGATGTCACCGTTTCTTCGGGCTCGTTACGGACCGCATCCCGGCCACCCCTCGCCACCGCCTCCGGCATACTCCGGTATGCAGTGTTTTCCTCACCGGTCGGAGTCGTCCGGGGCGTCAGGCGTCGTCCTCGCCTCAAAGATCTTGAACAACTGATCGATGCCATCCTTTCGTCCGATGCGACTGAGCGAGATCGACGCGGTGCGACTGAGCATGAGCGCGACTGATACTCCACTGTGGGGAGAAGGTGCCGGACCCTCAAAAACCACCATTTTTAGGGACAAATACATGTTATAGGGGGTTCGACCCCTGCTATGGAGGGTCGAATCCTTAGGGTGAGAGAGTTTTTGGGATATGCGGGCATCTGCATGTCGGACAGGGAAGCTCCACAAGTAGTACCACGTCTGGATGTTTTTGTTGGTGCATCCATGACCCCGTGGATGGCTCTGCTGCCTACTTTCGAACTTGTTGTAGATGTCCGGTCTGGATATCTATCGCGGCGACTGGCCAATCAAGAAATCCCATTTTGTGAGTCCCCAAACAAACTCAGTACTTATACGAATCATTCACACAATCACTCACCTTTGTACACTCAGAGCCAGTAACATGTCACTACTTACAAGACAATCTATGTATATCCTAGACACTCCATGTATGGGATATATGCCTACATTGACCCCCCAAACCACCACAATGTAGGCATATATGGCATACATTGAGCGTCTGGGTGTATATGGTGGTTGATCAATATTCTTTCATCCTGGAATGGCCATTCATCGCGGAAAAAAAGATATCTTTCGCGGATCTTTCGCGGGTGCTTTCCCCGGGAATCCTTACATGGGGTTTTCGATCAACTCCCATAAGCAAGCCTTACTTGGACCACAACAAGGTGTTGCTAGTCACCATGCTTGGTCCATACGCCAAGGTTGGCGTCCCACGATCCAACCACGAACACCGCCAGCCGATCCGCAGCCGCCGGTGCCTTACCCGCGAAGAGCGGCTGATGAAGGAGCATCTCGCCCAGGACACAGCCAGCCGCCCACATGTCCACCGAGGTGTTTCTGAGGAGATGCGGACACCATGCAGAAGCGGACATGACCATTCAATGAGTTCGTGGGCAAAAAAGGAAGAACCGGGATGTAACAACCTGCTTAGGCAAAGGAAACATGTGTGTATGATTGCGCCTGGATCTTGCTGCTTGACAGTGAATGCTATATATAAGTCACTCTGAATCCAGCCAGTCACTCTGAATCCACCTCCAGCTCTAGCTCCGTCACTAGTCGCTAGTCAGACTCAGGTATATAGAAGAGATCCCTTATTCAGTCTGATCAATTCCAAGTGCGGTCACCAGAAAACAACAGTCATCCTAAAGCCTCACAAAAGAACACAAAACAAGGTGTTCGTTCACCACACAGACAAATGACATCTGTCTCAATCACGAGGGGGGCCAACAACCAAGAGCTGTTCAAACAATCCATTCAAAACCAAGAAATCCTGGGCATTGTCAAAGAATCCATTAGCGGTTGGTCCCACCATCTACTCTGAAATCCACCTACTTGCAAACTTCCTGGAAACCCAAGAACATTTCCAACCAAGACACAAGTGTCTTCCAACCAAGTGTCTTCCTGGAAACTTCCTGGAAACCCAAGTAAACAGACACCAAAATACGGCCACCCACCCCCTGTGAACGCGGCTGGTCTCGTGTGCTCAGAATCAGCTCGGGCGCACGGTAAAAGCCTAAGAGCCCGCTGTGGCGAGCTTCCGGGAATCCCAGCCCATCCCAGTGGATATAGAAGGAACTATGGATCTATGGATCTATAGAAGGAGCTATGGATCTATGGATCTATAGAAGGAACTATGGGTCTATGAATTTCTAGGTCTATGGGTCTGGATCGATCCCGGCGTGTTGACACGATCGGTGCGGTTCCGAACTGTGCACCGCACCCGACCCGGGAGGTCGAATTGGGCTGAAATGGAGACGAACACAAAGCGTGGCAACTGGTGGTAGGAGGCTGTTGAGTCAATTGGATGATATCCCGAATGGATTGAACGGTCGACCTGGACCTTCATGTATGCAGGTGTCCTGGCTGGAGATTGGATGGATGGTAGTGTAGGGGCGAAACCAGCCAGCTGACCCCGACATGAAGGTCCCAAAATGGATTGAACAAACCAATCATTGGAACAGGTATTGGAGGGGGTTCTTATATATCCATTTGGAGATGCCTTTTCATGCTCAATAATACGCCATGTTGCACGTAGCGTTGTATAGTTGTAATCCTCCTTCTATATATATATATATATTATTGTGTTTTTATACTAAAATCAATAAAATGCACTGTTCATCCCCAATTCACTGCACTTACCATATAGAAACACATATAAACAAACAATAGATAAACAAATTTGGATCCTTTTGGCAAACCAGGAAACCATCATCAAACCACCATGGTCCCCAAGATCATCGGGAAGGACCGCGTGCCCGGCCCGATTCCCTTCAAGAGTTATGGCGTACAGCACAGCCTACGATCTATTCACTATCATCATGCATCTGCCAGAATCGATGGTAGGACTGACAGAAGTTTGAGGTTTGCCTGAGGAGTGAACTTTTTGGCTGAAAGGCGCAACAAAAACACTGCAGCAGCCACATCTCTGATCCATGTCCTCACTATCAAACCTGTGACTCTTTTAGAAAAGGCACTTCCCACGCACTTCCAAATCCATTCCAAGTGGCGCGAGCACACATAAGCTTGCCCCACCTGGCATCTTTGGACTTCACAAACCCAACAGGCTCCACTCGTCCGAACCCTCAAAAGACCTCTGCTTCGCTACGAACCTTTCTGGCACCCGGGTCGCCTCCGGCGGTGCGACGGGCGACGACCGTGCCTCGCTGGTGTTGACCCACTTGGCCGTGCCAAAGTCGCAGACCTGCGGAGCAGGCTTCGCCACTGAGCAGCGGAATGGGCGGAATGTGTGCGGAAGCGGACGATGAAGAAGGCACACACTTTCACAGCGGCCGTGGGGGGCTGTGGGGGAGGTAAACAAATTTGTCTATCATATGGGGATATGTGTCGAAACAGAAGAAACCGTTGGATGAGTTGTTTCCTTTTAGTCTTAAAAGTGGAGAAAACCTGCCTCTTCAGTATTCAGTAGGCTCAGGCTTCTCCTCCAAAGGTCTCCAAAAATGTTTGCAACTCTGGTCACATTGTCTTGGATACAAGTAACCAGGAGAGGAATCACTCATAACAGTAAACGATCACCCTAAGATACCCCAAGCAGAACCAGGTTGTGTAAAACCTGATCCACCATGTCGCATTGAGAACGGCCTTCGCACATCTCAATCTCTGTCGAAGGGGTGCTTCTCTCCCGGCACGCACTGAGACTCGGGAACAGTATCAAAGCCATGCGCAGCCCAACCACAGCATAACAAATACACCTGAAATCGCATGTTTGAAATATCTCGTAATGTTGTGTCATGTTCACTGATGATTATCCAAAAAATAGCCTGAAGATATAGCAACATGCATCAACATGCCTAGTAAGGCCTGCTTGATTGATCAATTGTCAACCTTCGGGTGAAGCTTCGGCTGCCGCCTTTCAACTGACCTGCGGATCGACCGGCGGAAGGTACTCGGTACCCGAAGAAGCCCGGTTTTCCCCGGCCTTCAGGCAGTAAGTGGCTGGGTCCACCAAGAGGTTGGCCGGTTTGATATCTCGGTGTACCTGGTCAGGGCGCGCCGGTGGGCGCCCTCGTGCCAAGCGCAAGAGGTCGGTAGCATGGTCCGGCCTAGTCGTTGTTGTAGGAGACGGAGTGATTCACATAGACATGGAGACGGGAGGGTTCGTAGACCCTTGTATATTGGGTCTATCCCATTCCCTGGGCCCAGTGGATGTTGAAGGTTACTTGAAGGCCGTGTTCAAAAAGAGTCGTCTACAGACTGTTGGAGGTAATAGGATAAATGCAACTGAGACTACAGTAGATATAACATTGCATAATAAGCTTCCTAGGAGAAACATGAAAAAGGCCATGTCCACGCAACATCCACCGGGCCCTGGCACACGAACCAATAAAAACAAGTTTTATGAAACCCAGACGCGACCCATGGGACTGCCATAGGACTGCCGAGAAACGGCCAGGGGTGGTGCCAGGGGGGTCTGGCTGGGGCGGCATATATGGAGTGTTTGGGAAAGGAACCTGGTCCACGGCGTGGTCCACCTCTTGAAGCCATTCGCACCCGACTGGCCCCTTTCTGGAGCCCTCCGACCCTTCGCGGCGCACCACCCCTTCGCGGTGGAGGCTCGCCAGCCCGCGCAAGAGCTGGTACATGTAGACTCCTTGGCGTCTGGACGAAGCAGGATGCGACCATCGCATCAGCGCGTCCAAATCTGGAAAGGTCAAATCAACATAAACCATGCAGAATCCCGCCGGACGCACTTTCCGGCGTGTTTTGTGGATGTCTTTGGGATCTATCTTCCAATGAATTTGGAGCTATATATGTTCAATCTCAATCAGAGGCAAGGGACAAGCAAGTTTGCGCTAGATCGATCCACTGTTGTGGAGATTTTTGGGGTGGGCGGCATTGCACTCAGTTTTCCCATTCGCAAAAAAACGCTGTTCGTGCCTCCCATCCAGGGCTGTTCTTGTGTTGCTTGAGGGGCAAGTCGTAGGCATCCTGATCATTTTGAACTGTGGCACGTCCTACAACCCTTCATAGACCGTCTCTAAGTCAGTCGACCTCTTTGGGGACGATGGTCCCGTCCCCTCAGCCGTCCAGGAGCTCTGAAAACGAAACGGTTCGGGACCCGGAGCCCCGGACGAACATAGTGGAAGTCCATCTCGGTACCCTGGCGCAGTCAGTGAGTCGAATCTCTCGTGCCCGGCCCGTACCCGGGTCGCTCGTACAGCTTTGGGACGTGCCAGGAGCTGGCCTTCTCAGAAGGTATGATTGGACCCTCTAAACTGTAAACCCACCTACACCAGGGCAGGTTCAAGGATCAGTTAATTATTTCTGCGGATTCTTCAGGTTTAGGATGGTTTAGGTATGTCACATGTATGGAGTGAAGTTCCAAGATGCTAAATACAATCTTGTTCTCCAATCTCATGAGATTCGCGGATTTCTTCCGATTTCAAACAAATGATATAAAACACACGCTTTCAGCATCTTTCAGCTATTTTTCGGTATCGAGCGACCCAGCTGACTATGCCCAAACGGAGTCGTTACTTGGGCATAGTCAGCTGTTGATTCCAAGTGGCAGATCTCCATGATCCTCTGCGGAAAAAAAAGCGAGCTCTAGATCACTTCCATCAGCTCCAGGTCGTCTTCGGTGCTTTTGGTTGGAAGGGAGAAGGCACCAAGTCCCAACCGTTTTCCGTTCCTTCTGACCGCTGCCGATCTCCCGCTGCCGACGGCAAGACCGCCCGTCCGATGGATCGTGTCCGGCCTGTTGACGATGATGCTTAATGATCCTCCCCAGCGTGTCCTGCGTGGTGTCCGAGCGGCGGATTCGGAGGCATTGGATGGACACATGGAGGTGAGGCGAGGGGTTGGATGGTGGGTGCACTGGAAGTAAATCAAGAATTGTTAGGGAGATTCTATTTGCCCTTATTACATAGCTGGCCTATGTGTCCACCAAAGGCTGCACATATCAAGCGAAGAACACATATCATCAAATATCCTCATGTGGCAGTTGTCAACCCACCGCCTGAGTGCGAGTATAGAAGAAATGGTTTCAGTGTATCCCATCACCAAACAAGTCAATGTGTACCAGGACCATCCTGTCGGCCAACGTAAGCTGACAAGCAGCTATTGTAGGTACTTTATAAGAAGCTCCATGGGTGTCCAGGTATTCATATATCATCGATTCTGCACCCGAATCCCAAACCACTTGAATCAAACACCCCTTGAATGAAAACACTGCTCCAATTCTGGAGGCAATCACCCCAGAACTCTCCCCCACCGGAGGGACCCCCATCCTTTTGGGGAAAGAGACGGGGTCTCAGAACTCACGCCGCTTTCCGCCGCTTCCAACGCCACCGGTCAGAAGGCGGGTCGCGTTCGTTCCGCCTCGACGTACTCCAGTACAAAGTTCAGTGTCCGCGCCTGTGGGGATCTGTGGGTGTCTGCGTGCGTGGTTTTTGGTTGGAATCCACATCATTCGCATGTGACTGAACGACGAAAAGGACATGAGCATTGTAGGGCGCCCCTTACAGGTCTGAAGATCCAGTAAAGAATTACATGGAGGTTTAGGGGATTGTGCCATCCACTCTGAAGCACTGTAGAGCGCTTTCAGGGTTCTCGATTGAGGCTTCTGTTTGCGCCAGAAATCCTCGACATCAGGAGTTCCCGCAGTCGGGCAAACCGAATGACGAACAGTGAGACGCTGCAAGGAGACGCTGTGGGAGTCCAAATTTGGTATTTGATGGAATTTGCTTAAAACAAAACATTCCCAGAAACTATCCCAAACACCACCTATGGAACTGGCATATTCACATACATTGGGGTGGTTGAAAAGGGGTCAATCATGGTAAGTATATATCCGCGCCATACATGGAGTGTCTGGGATTGGCAACAAAAAACTATTTTGCAGAAGGGCGAACCAATTCTTGTAAGCAACCGACTAATAAGTTCGACGTATTGCACTTGATGAAGCGTAAGTATAGTTGTATCATATCCTTAAACAAATATGCAAAGCATCTGGAAATATATAAGCTAAGACTGAATCTAAGAAAACAGTGCACTCAAAGTTTTCGTAAAATACCCGCTAATGGCGCAGATCCTACATGTGTTAATCTACAAAATATGCCAATGTTACAACTGTTAATCTCGTTGGTTATATTCAATCAACCATACAAACATAGCAAAATAGCGCATCTAATGTTAATGTTTGGAGTATATTCTGGTGTTATTGGGAAATTAAACATCACCCCTTATAAACAACAGCTAGCAAAAGCGACACGCTTTCTTGTAAGTAAACAACCTACTTTGTCTTTAAAGTGGTGAAGGGGAAACTCAGGACTCCTTCCAAACGACTCCCGGTTGAATGGGGAATAGTCTGTGATCGCCCAGCTCTGGATCGCTCCCTCCCAAAGCACTGTAGCTATACCCCAAATGATCCATGTATAAAAAAGATAATGTCATGCAATATGACCTACATTCACCACCAAAAACCACAAAATGTATAGGCCATAGAACTGCGCCACCATGGATCCATCCCATGTTTTTCACATCCGCGTTTTAGTCACGTCGCACCTCCGGGTCAACACCTTCGAAGATGCCCAAGAGGCTAACGACCTGGACTACCGAGGCGGAGGCGGAGGGGAGAGAGCAATCTCTCCTCCCATGCGGAGGCCTCAGGGCCTCTTCCTTCCTTGGAGGGCTAGAAATTTGGACCCACGTTTTTGTTGGGGTGTTCGATCATGCACTCCGTTCTAGAGATTTGCCCTGCTGATATCTGACACAGACACTCCATGTACGGGATATATGCCGCCCCATTGATCCCCCAAACCAAACCAACTGATCGGCATATATGGCATACATGTAGCGTCTGGGTGATATATCTGCTCTTACTTCATCCCCAACAAAAACTGTTTCCAACGATCAGACCTTCGCATGACTTCGCGGACCACTCTCACTCTGAAAGATCGGACCGTTCGTTCCACATCCACCGGTATCCACCGACGCGATCTTCTTGAGTGACATGGTCTCCGATCCGTTGAGGGCCCTGGAAAGCAAATAGCCATGGTCGACCTCGACTGGAGATGTTGGGTTCCAGTTGAGTGACAAAACATATGACGTATACCTAAGTATTTCTACGTTTTCAACACAGGAATGGATGGATATGGATGGGTTAACCAAAAAAACATACAAGCAAGCTTCAGTCTATGGAGAAGTTCCCTCATTTTGTTGCAGTTCAGTTCACCTTCCTGCCGCGACAACCATTGGCCGGCGCGACCCGAAGCAAAAGTTTGGATGTTCCGAAGCGAGCCCACCGAGCGACCATGGCGACCCCCAGAGCTGGAACCATGGCGGGTCTCCGGGCGTTGGGGCTACCGCTCAGGCGTCGTAAGACTTCCATCTGTGGCGTCGAAAACGAGGATGTGCAGCGAAAATATGGGGAGGTCATGGTCTCCCCAGTTCGAGATACTGGTTCGGTTTGGGAAACAAACCAATAAACATACACAAATTCTACTAGGAATGGAGGGTCTCCCTAGTAGAATACTTGGCCAGTGCCGTGTGAAAACAAAACAAATTTGCTGAAGACATGTGGTATTCAGGAGGTTTTTACTCTTAAACAAAGGGTCACCAGTGCTTCTAGAACTAAACCCGTGGACCACCTGAGGGGTCTCGGTTCCTAAGATACTGGTGGGCTGGGATCTACTGGTTACTGTGATCCGGGAGGACGATATGTTATGGCCGCGAGTATAGAGGTTTAGCGGCCTTGGTCCGGAAATTTTTGGGATCGATTCCGTCCAAAAACAACGACAACGCTGGTAATTACCTACTAGTTAAAAAAAAAATGGGGGACGCAGTATATAGATTTGATGTTGAAAAGCCTGTGGATACGATTGCTACTCAAAACTTTGGATATGCATTTCTATCTTTTTTCCCGTCCTGAAGGATTAAAAGAATTCTGCATATATACACATTGAAGTGTACCCCCACACATTCTCCATTGAAAGTGGTCACTGCCACATGCTGCCACATTCCTGGCTTCAGAGGGCAGACAACAAGAGCGATCCGGGAGCTTTCTGAAGAGACAGGGCATTTAAAGTAATGTTGACACAGGATTAAGTAACCACCCCCTATTAATCAATCCCAGCTCGACCCCCCCCAATGCTAAACTAATTTAAAACATAGATTTCCATCTTGGCATCACCCTAATATTTTTTCCTTTGCCAGAAACCTCCCCCTATTAATCAATCCCAGCTCCCCAGAAAAAAAGCAAGTATGTGTTTTATATTTGTGTATTATTTACTTTCTTTTGGCTAGTATCCAATATCCTTTGGTCCCTAAACACATCTCTAGCAAAACTCTTTCATGTCCCCTTATTGAAACTCTATCAAAATCTGAACGTTTTCTAGCTCACAGAGGGTACCCCTCTCACAGGCCTCAGTGTTCGCATAGAATCATATCAACCATCATCCATCATCAGGTCATCACCTTTATTAGGGGGATGTGGTCCTCACATACATCCAATCTCAGACCTTGTTGACCTTGAAGGGAGGGGGGAAAGATAAGCAAGGTGTCGGGATTGAGCAAGGAAAGATCTAGAGTTAGAATGCACCGCAAGGAGGCCATGACAAGACAAGAGAAGCAAAAAGGCACAGCAAGGCACTAGAGGGAAAGGGGAAAACAGGACGCAAAAAACAGCAAAAAGGGAAGGAAAGGGAGAAACACCGTAACGCAAAATGTCCGAAATAGAAGGGAAGGGACGCCGTTTGAATGCGACAGCAAGAAAGCCTATTTAAACCACACGCACGCACTATGTCCAACACTTTTCAAGTGGGAAATAGCTAGGCGGAAAAAGGTACATTCAGAATGCCTCCTCCCTCCTCCCAAAATCAATGTCAATGAGGTGTGTGGCCGGAAGGGGAAGGGCAACAGAAAAGGCAGGGTAGGGATAGCAAGGCAGTGGAGGAAAAGCAGAGGGAAAGACAGGGAAGAACGTCGCAAAGGGCAGGGCAGGAAAAACAAGTCAAAGGATCTGGAAAGAGCGGAAGGGAGCTGGAAAGCAACACACAGTGGGATGGAGGTGAACAAACTGGAATATAACCACCTGAAAAAGGGAAATCTCACGCGTGGCCTTGGCCTGAGAGCTTTGCGGAGGGCAGCGCGCAGAAAATAGCAAGGAAATGTGCACAGTTAGAATGCCCCGCGCAAATGCGACCAGGATCGACCAGGTATGATGAGGTATGCCTCGCACGCATGGGTCTGGTCATGGGAAGCTAAACATGGAAAGGTTCCATAACATTCCTACAGACCTGGTACGACTATGACCTGGTAAGAAATCTATCTCTTCATTTATTATCACACAATCAATAGCATCATGTATTATCCAAAATTCCCTGGAGGTCCATACGAAGGGCCTGGATGGAAAGAAAAAACAGAACGCTAAAGAAAGACCAAAAAAGGAAAGGAAAGGAAGACACCCAGAAAAACATGTAAATAACATGTGTGCACTAGGTCCAGGTAGGAAATGGCCAGGATGACGGTACAGTTAGAATTCCTCCTGCCGAATATAGTGTCAAAGTTTGTGAACGGGAAGCGTAGCAAAACAGGCAAGGGACAGCAAGGCAATAGGGAGGAAAAAGAAAGGAAAAGGACAAGTACAGAACGGAAGGGGGAGCTGGAAAGCAAAACACGCACTGGGATGGAGGTGAACAACTTGGACTATATCCGCCTGATCAAAAAAATAAATGTCACGCGGAGCCCGTGCCCGAGAGCTGTCCGGATCAAGGGACGGGGCAAAGAAAATAGCAAGGAAATGTGAACAGTTAGAATGCCCCGCGCTTAACAAAGATATATCAAAGAGGCTCATGACAAGAGAAGAGAAGCAGAAAAGGCATGGCAAGGGAAAAAAAACTGAATGCAAAAGACACCAAAAACGGAGGAAAGGGGGAGAAACACCGCAACACAAAATGTCCGGAATAGAAGGGAGGGGAGGCCGTTTGAATGCGACTGCAAGAAAGCCTATTTAAACAACACGCAAGCACTACGTATGTCCAAAAGTTTTCTGGTGGGCAATACATTGAGAGTTCGTGCTCGCAAAGCATTTGGCGGCTGGCATTAATGCAACAAAGTGCTCATTAATTGCAACGGGTTGGTTGAAACAGCCGATGCCAGTATTAGGAATAAAACGGGCCAGCCTTGGTCAAAAACACACACACACATGTTGCTGTGAGCAGGTCTATTTACACACTGCCTACCTCAGCTTGACCTAAGGGAAATCGCACGGCAAAAGGGCGGGTCCTACCCATGCTGGGCAATGCGCAATGCAGTTTGCGTCAGGTACGAGTACAAGCGGTAACTTCAAGCTGAACTTTCAAGCTGGTGTTGTTCGTACTTCCTTTACAGCACCACTTCCCGGCGGAAAGCTTGATGGAATTGATTTGCGTGGAGCTGTCGTCGACCGCACTGTAGTGCCTATGCAGAACAACCACGACATGGGTGTGGTGCTCCACAACGGCCAGCTGCAGCGGCTGATACTCGTCTAACCTTGGGATGCTTGCAGGCACTCTGGTCCACTACCTCTTAATGCGAGGATGCTTGCCACGCTCGATTTCCAAAGCAGCTTTCAAACAAGCTGCCTGGCGTCGTGCATCTTCTGGCACCGAATCCAATCTCGTGGAGCATGCAAGAAAGCAAGAAATGCTTCCCAACAAGCTCGCCTGAAAAGTTTGGCCGCTCCACGTCGACTGGACGCCGAAAAGGTCAACTCAGATCACTCAGACATGTTCTCTTCGGCGTTCTCCTTGAACCATCAATATCACCTGACCTGTGCTTGCCATGAAATCTGCACTTCGAGGTAAAGCCGCCCCGATCCCTTGCACCTGTCACGAAAAGTCGACTTTGGACCACCAAAACACGAGATTTCCACCACCATGTCCGAAAATGTGCACGGCATCACAACGAGAGCGCAGTCGCGACAAGCACCCACCGCGGCCACCCAGATTTTGCGAGCCTGCGCAGTCGAAATGCACTTCGAGGATTTCGAGAGGCATGAATGTACTGTAAATAGCAGCGAATTAGCCGGACGCCCCGGTGCAACACCTCGATTAGACACAGGTGAATAACTTAAGACTACCGTAAGAACCCCTAGTGTGTCCACACTGTCTGTTGGTGAAAAACAAACACATCCCATCAGGCTTCGTGGCGTACGTTCTTAGCCCTACCCGTTTTCAACGGGGTTGGCACCGGCCCAAAGGGACGTACATGCTTTGGGACATACAAGAGCACGACCTCCAAGGGGTACGGGGTACATACCAGTCTAAAAGTGTATTCTCTTGCAAAAAAGCAGCTTTTTCCGAGTGCCCCCCCCTTTTTTAAACAGGTGTTTCTTCTCGCGGGGCAACTTGGACAGCTCGCCAGCCTCTCTGCCGGCACCATTGAGTGCTACCTCAGCTCAACAGGAAAGATCGGGAAGTTGCACTTGGGCTGAACAGTTTCATTGAGAAGGTGACATCTCAATGGTTTACACCAGCAGCGAGCTACGACCTGGTCCAAATTGGAACACATGCTCCTGTTCCAGCTGAGAGCTATGGCTGAACAGTATGTATAGTATGTCTGTATAAAGTATTTGTGGCCACTTCGTCTAGGACCGGGCACAGAAGGGGTTGGTACACCAATGAGATGCAGAAGGGAATCTAGTCAACATGTACAAGGGCCAGCAGTTCCAAAGGGGTGCTTAATGGAGGATAGGCTAGGGGTACCGAGGAAGTCGGGGTGCCCGTGATCCACTCACTGGATGGGACTAAAACCCATTCCGACATGGACCTGCTGGGAAAGCCTTTGCATGTTGTGTAGGGCTTTCAGATTTGACCCACCCATGTCTGAATTTTGTGAGCTTTCTTCACCTGTAGTCATGCCATCCAACAAAGAGGAGAGAACGGCGATGGTACGAGGCAACGGTCGTTTCGGCGATGTGTGCAGGCACATCTCTCACTGCTTCAACATCTTCAGGGCATACCTGGTATCCAGTGGTTTCAGTTCGACTAAGACTACAAACCATCCAAGTCATGGTTAACTGGGCTCCTGAAAGAGATCGCTGGAAAAGAAGAGTTCAACATCCTCCGCCCCCTACTAGCCACCTAAGACATAAATGAATGACTCAACAAACATTCGAATGCATTCAGCTTCTGACCCTTGCCAACCTCTCTCTTCTGCAAAACGTTCTGTTGAACGCTTCTGAGCATAAAAAGAACACACACAGAAGTCAGAAAAAAACGCCAACATCCCGTTCACCACAACCCCGCCCCTTGGTGTAACCGCTGATGTGCACCGCGTGGCTTTTGGGGGTTGACGGTGTGCACCGCGCGACGACTCGCACGCCACGCGCACCCGTTCCGCACCGATCGCCCGTTCCGCCGGTTCCAACCGATCGCCCCCACCGTCTTGATGGCCACGGTCTTCCGGGATCGCACCTCGGTGGCCTGGCGTGACCGGACGAGGACGGAATTCGGAGGGACGGACGGGGAGGGGACGGACGGTGCCTTTTCTGGGTCCTTCAGAGATGATTCCGTTTTTGACATGTCATGTCAATGTTCGTTTCTGTTGGCCCACCATTTGGGTGGAAGGTCTATGGAGGGTGGGGTTGGTCTTTAGAATGATGTTAGGTGGTTCCGTCGTTTTGGAGGGGTCGAACGAGGTTTGGGACGGTCCACGGGCGGGTATCTCCTGGATCTTCAGAAGGAGGATAGGTCTTTATGACGTGAGGAAGCATTCAAAACTTGAGTCACATGGTCGAATATACAATTAACATCGCTACCTGTTAGGGGAGGGGGGACCTAAAATAATGTAAGTTACATTTTTCCTGGGGGGGGTCTTGGTTTGATACCTCAAATATGTAAGCTTACATTTTTTAAAATAGACGTAGAAAATGTAAGCTTACATTGTTCCCCCATATACGTAGAAAATGTAAGCTTACATTTTCTACGTCTGCAATGCAAGATGCAATCAAATCTTGTGTGATGTAATCTTGTTATATATATATATATCATTATATATCATCACTTCTGCCATCTTCTGCCTAGAAGCCAACAGATCTCAGCAACTTCAAGAGTGCAGCAAGCTCCAAATTGCAACAAAAACGCTTTCCTTCCAGGATTCACAGAGTATCATTGAGGATTAGTATGTTAGTATGTTACATTTTGGGGGGTACCCTGTAAAATGTAAGCTACCATGTGCCTAGGTGATATGTTACCTTTTCAGAGGTACCCTGTAAAATGTAAGTTGCCACGTGCCCACATAGTAAGTTACATTTTTACCACCCCCTCCCCCCCCCCTCCTGCACTCTGAGCACTCACCGGTGATTCCCTGGGGGATCCCTGGGGAATCCTGGGGAATCCCTGCCAGCCCACATCCCCCACCCCCAAAAAAAAGCTTAAACTTCCACCGGTCAATCCCCAGGAAAGCCACCGGTCAAAAAGTAGAGGGGGGGGGTCCAACATACATTTATGGCCCCTCCCCCAAAATGTAATTTACATTTTTTTACGTCCCCCCTCAAAAACCTGAGGCAAGGGGGTGGCGATCAATTAACTATAATTAACATGCTTGTAATGCCTAAGTCTCCGGCTTTCAGGTTCACCAAAGGATGATTCACACTGGTACTCTTTGTCTTCCGAATGCCGTGCTGCAAAACCTACCTGACAGGCCTATAATGAATGAATGCATGAATGCATGAACGAACGAACGGACGAACGAACGAACGAACGAACGATTGAATGAATGAATGAATGAATCAATCAATCAATCAAATCTGGCTTTAAAAAAGTAATGTATTCTGACCCCCTGCCCTGTCCTTGCACACGGTGCCAAATGATCCTCTGCCAAGCACACACCTGAGAGCAAAGGAGAGGAAATCCTCCCATGGGTCAACTCCAATCAATCGGAAGAACGTCTGTGGTCTGTGGTGAACCCTTGCTTTTGACATGGTGCCAGTAAATCCTTCCATCGAATTTTGAAAAGAAAGATTCTACTGCTACATACTCCGCAAAAAACTTGCAGGTCCCCTATCACTTAGAGGAACTGTACTGACCAGTACTGTTTTAATTTCACCAGGTGCTGCCCTTTGAAACCTCCCTTCTATTCGTGGGATTCCAACTACTGCTGGGTCCGGTTGACTGCGCCGCCATTGACCTGAGACATTTCAACATATATCCATACCATATATCATATTTGTTGATTTGATTGTACATGGAAAGGGATCCCTTGAATTTGGAAACATGTTCCGCTACGAGTTTAACAAAGTATTCTAGAGAAGGCTTTCCTAGACTTTTTGGTTTTGAAGCGCAGAATTCCAGGAACCCATTGCCCTGAGCAGTATGCAAACGTACTCAGTTCCCCAAACATTGAGATTGTTGTCGTATATCATATATCTTGATTTCATGTTTATTTTACTTCTTTTTCGGGGGAACGGCCGGTTCTTGCAATACAAAAAATGAAGAACTATTAAGAACAACACACATGCTGTTGGACATTCCAGCAAGACTTTAGAACTACGAGTCACCTGGCTACCCGCACTCCATGGGGGTTTTGTAACGTCAAAAAGGCCCTCCACCTAGCCATCTCGAAAGCCCTTCGAGCTCCAAAGGTTTTGGGCAGGTCTCGACATGTCTCGACTATGTATCCCACCAAGAGTTCATTAAAACACATCACATCGTCTCAAAGGTTCGATGATGTTCGATGTCACCCCAAGATGTCTGGTTTCCAGATGGGGGATCCACTACTCAATCACCAAACTTGGACAAATATACCAGGACCTTCCAACAGGTCTCCTGGTGCCTTTTGTAGACTGAAGAAGTGGCAGGTGGTGACCTGTTGGAATGTGCTGGTATGTGCCATGGAATCTCTCAAAACCAGTGTCTCACCCAGGCTCTGAGTTAGGCGCCCCAAAATCGAATTATCGCCTCCCATCGATTCGGGTCGCAGTCAAAGCACCCCAGCCTTTGCTCCAAACACGGGACCAGCAAGACCCATGAATGAAGGCCCAAAGACTGGAGATCAGCTGAATCAGCTCAAGTGGATCCAACATCCCACTCTGTTTTTTGGACTTGCAAACCCACTGATGTGAATTCATTCATAGCCTTCCTTCGAGAGAGCTATTTTAAGCCATGTTCAAAAAAGAGAAACGGCTTGGACTATATGTTCAAGCGGGGTTAAGCTACGTAAGCTATATATATATACACACCCTTCACCCTTCAATGGGATCTTCCAGACCTTTTCGACCCGAAACTGGGAGTCCTTTGTGACCTCGCAGGGGATCAAAAGGTCACTTTGAAGAACCAGGTCTGAAGAACCTGGGTTTGATTGGATGGTTGAAGACCTTCATGGGTTTGGATGGTCCCCAGCTTGTTGATTGGACCCATCCAAACCCATGGAAGTTTGAAGAACCATTGACCATCCATCACAGCACCCCACAATAGAACTCGCCAAGGCACAGGGTCTGATACCGTGGCCCTGCAGGCAACTCCTCCCAAACGGGGCTCGGACTCGGGGTCGCCTGACGAAGCACGACGCGCGAGGTCGCGGGTTGTACGTTTGGACGCGTATTGTTTGTCTTGCTTTTGGATTGCTTGCTTCTTCAAAGTCACCTGATTTATTTTAGTGTATACCTCAAACCAGAAGATCAAAAGGTCACTTTGAAGAATCCGTTTTCTTTTAAAAAAATACTGTTCTTGTTCCAGCATGAGCATGTATCAAACAAAACAACATCGGCCATCACATCGTGATGGACTGGGTTGTGATGGAGTGTTTGTCAGTGTCTCTTTTTCCAGCATGAGCATGAATGAGACCTTTAGACTCCTTTAGTCAACGAATTCCTGATGGTTTGATATGGCTTTGATTCCAGCATTTAGGAAGCCTTTTCGACTTGGCCAACATATTGTCTTCTGATCGGCCACGGCGTCTTCCATGTGTTGAGTAAGACACAGAAGGCCGTTGTTGGATGCTGACTCCCACCGTTTCCCCTGGGAAAATCAGCTGTGAACCAAACGTTTCCATCTTTTGGTTTTCAGTGGGGCGTCCCCTTAGTCTCCCCCATGAAGAAGCAAGAATGGTGGCATGCAGGTCATCCATCCCGACTAGGTGTAAAGGCGAGCCATGCAAGTCACTTGCAGGAGACCACCAGGCTGCTGCGTGACGAACGTACCATTCTTTTTCAGGCAGCTGGTTCTTGATGTTCTTGGCAGTTGCTGATTCGCAAGCAAAAAACATCTTCCCCGAAGACAGGGAATTCACCCAGTTCAGGAAATTCATGGAAAATCAAAAGTAACTCGATTCGAAAAATAAAAAAACACAAACAAACAAGAACAGCACCGGTCAGACTTCCGGTCGTCGGCTTCCCATCTTGTTCGAATCGGTCCCTCGCGAGGTTTCACCCCTCGCCTGCAGGTTTGGGTGCAGCCTGAAGAGAAGAGCACTCGACTGATATCGCAAGATGTGGACAACCTCCACCTGATTCTCAGTGGGACTTCCCTGCCTATACTAGCGGATCCGTACGGATCCTTGAAGTAGCGTCACCAGATCTCCCCAGGTCTCTCAAGCGGAATCCAAGTGGTCGCTCTAATTCGTTGGCTCCGGCTCGTGGTTGAACACCACTCAATTAGGTCCTCTCGGATGTGCTCTTTGGAAGGTCGGGAACCAAAAGGAAAGCCCAAGGGCCCCGGTCACCTCCTCACGTTCGGACCACCACTCGTCCGTCCCGGAAGCGTTTCGCGTTTCGGGGCGCCCGACTGGGGCCGGGAAAATGAACATCACATGGATATCCGAGGTTGAAAGACCTGAACTAGGACCCTGTAGTGGTATAAAGGGCTGTGAAACACCTCTCTCTTGGATCCGTTTAAGAACACACAAACGTGGTTCAATGCGATGAGTCGCTGCGATGACTCGCTGCAGGATGTTCAACATTCCATCGACGGAATGCAACACGGGTCTGACCCGTAGATTCCATGGATATAGCCAGGCCATCGAAATTCCCCCTGGTGGATGTGATGTAGGCCAAGTCAGATGTAGGCCAAGTGAGGGTCCAGTTGCACCTTCTGAAGAGATATGTGGGTCCCTAAGGATTGCCAAACTAATTACCTCTGTGGCGGTGCAGGACTCAACAGCACTTGTCCAGGCTTCTGGGAGAAATCCGGACACACATCACTAAACCTCTTCAACAGGTCTCCAATTTCCTGGAGTGTGACTTTGTACGCTTTGTACATGTTGTGGTGTTTTTGATCCCCGAAACAGTTGGCTGGCAGAAGTCTGAGGCCACCACTGGGGATGAAGGCTCGAACGTGGCCCCCTGAGGGCGTGTGTGACGCCCCGCCCCCGCCGCACGCCCTACACTGTAGGGAAGTGGACCCAGGCAAAACCACCACGGGTGTTGCGGTGTTTGGAATAGGGAGACCCCAGGAGCGAACGCCTGGGAGGTCTCCCTATTGGAGCTACCACACCCACAATGAGGTGCCTTGAGGGGGATGAACTCCTGCTCTGTTCGGCTGGGATCTGCTCATCTGCGTGATGGTTTTCTTTCTTTCACTTCGCCCAGAGTTCGATGAGTCGGGTCAACATGCCTCGCTACCATCACATGTTGACGCACATAGACCTGAGCACTATTCACGATTTTTTGTCACTTCAAAAACGTGAACCAAACCAGTCTGCTAGACGATGCTGGGTCCAAAATCCCGGTCCAACCCGACGTAGGTCGAGCTCACCAGGGTGAGTGAAAACGGGCTACCGTGCCATGACCCACAAGCATTCTCGGTAGCCTGAAAGTGAAAAAGGGCTCCTCATCCATATCAACATGACCTTTGTTGGTAGAAAGCCCTTTATATCAACATCGTGACCTTGTTGGTAGACATGTTCTATATCAACATGACCTTTTAATTGGTAGAAAAATGCTCCACCAAACGAGCGACGTGGGCCATGGTTTCTCCGTTCCCAAGGAACGGTACTTGTTTCCATCGGTAGGTGGTTCACACCCGGTGTCCTTTTGGAGAAGAACCCAGGTGACCAGGGGATCATAGCACCAGGGGACCATGGTTTCTTCCGAAAACGAACCTACCGAGGTGCCATGACCCACAGCCGGATGCGGAACTCTGCCGGAGTGAACATGCTGTTCTGGAGTTGGTCGAAAAAGAGGGTGGCACAAGCCTCATGAGCCTCACTCACCAGCCCTGTAACGGCTGTCAAATTCCAAAACTAGCTGACTGACACCCTGAAAAAGACACTAAAAAACTGGTACTGAACATCAGGAAAGCATGAATTACAAACTTGACCGCTGATTTTTCTCAGTGCTACATATCACACAACTAACAAACCGCAATTGGTGGACATGAACCATTGCTTTCACAGCGATGGAAGGCGACGATTGGTTGGGTCGGCTAGGTGCTGCCACCGAGCTGGGGAGGTACCAGCAACCTGAACCATCAACCACAAGTCCCCTCCCATATGACTCCTGCGTAAGACCCTAAGAAACAAGGGAGAAGGCAAGAAATTTTAAGGAATCTCTTGGGGATCAGAAACCATCATGCAATTTTTCTAAGCACCAGTCAGTATATCCATCAACAACCATGTTCTTCCCCTCCGAGCTACGCCGGTGCGGGTGGATGCAGCTGCGGTCGCCGTGGCAACTGAGGTGGATAGGCGTCCACATCGGTGGGAGGGTCCTCAGGAGAAACGGCCGTTCGGATGAAGAGAAACTGCCAGGGTTGGGGGTGAAGTTAAGGAACCTTTGCATTGGTTATTGAACCTTTGGATTTTGTCATCCAACTCTTTTGGGGCCAGGATATTAAAGTACAACTTGAAGTACCATGTCATAAACACTTTTGGCAACATGTATATATGTGTGCTCAACACCTAGCGCTGTCCTTTCCAGGATTGGGGTCCACACTTAGTGACTTAGTGAACCTCACAACCCATTTCCCTGGGAATGAGCAGCCTTCTAATCTATGAGGTTTAAACATGTACAATGTTCTTATATTATGATTATGTACCTGAAACTTCCAGGGGTGTACTGTCTGAAGATTCCGGGTCGTAGTGTAGTGGCTTCCGGCCAGGTGAGGTGCTGGTATCTGAGTCTATAGTTTGCCAGTCTTTCGCCACCTCTGTGTTGTTTCTCTCCTTCGCCAAATCCCTCCCTCTCTGCAGTAAGTCCTAGAGTTTTGAATGAACTCTCTACTAGTAGCTTCTTGCTGGTAGTAGTATGGCCAGGAGATACCGGTAGCTTCTTGTTACTAGTAGTATGGCCAGGAACTACTATAGCAGCTTCTTGCTCCTAATAAGAATGCCCTTTGTAACTAGTAGTTATTTGTTACTAGTAGCTTCGTTACTAGTAGTATGGCCAGGAGATACTGGTGGCTTCTTGTTACTAGTAGTAAGCCAAGGAACTACTAGTAGCTTCTTGTTACTAGTAGTATGGCAAGGAGCTACTAGTGGTTTCTTGTTACTAGTAGAACTACTAGTAGTTACTTGTTACTCGTAGTGTGGCCAGGAGATACTAGTAGCTTCGTTACTAGTAGTATGGCCAGGAACTACTAGTAGCTTCTTGCTCCTAGTAGGGATGCCGGATTCCCTTTGTTACTAGTAGTATGGGCAGCCTAGTAGTTTTTTGCTCCTAGTAGTGTGGCCAGGAGATACTAGTAGTTTCTTGTTACTATAAGTATGGCCAGGAGCTGCTAGTCGCTTCTTGCTCCTAGTAGGGATGCCATTTGTTGCTAGTAGTTTTTTGTTGCTAGTAGTTCCATGTACTGTTCTTTGGCGTCATTCTGTGCATTGGTCCGTGGCCTCATGAAGTCGCTTTCATCAGGTGATCTTTCGTTTGGATGTCTCTGTTGATCCATCCGCGACCACTTTGAAGCAAAGCAAAGTACCTCTTTTCCATTCAGAACTTCCATGTAAAAGAAGGGAGTATACTTGACTGTGTACTTCTTGACATGGCACAAGTCTCCATCGGAAATGCGCTTGTCAATGGTAGTCGGGTCTTGCCAGATCTCGAAGAAAACTTCGGGATTGACCCCGATGATCACTTGTAGCATCTTTTGCAGTTAATGACATTTGATGCGTTGTTGCGAACACACTTGAACCCAATCATGAAATCACTCCCTTTCAGATTGTCCTTAGAGAAAAAATCGAGAAACGACAGCCCCTTGATGTACTGTTTAATTGTTTTTTTCTTGCAAATGTCATCAACTGCTCTCTTGTTTTCCGCAGGACTGGGACTGGGACGCTTTCTCGTTTCTAGTTTCCATTCGACCTCTTTCTCTGCGACATCTCGTGGTTTGTCAGCCATAGTTTTCTTTGGTGGAGCAGGCGGGGTCGATTCCTCCGGCATTTCAGTGTTTTCCAATAGCTGGACGATCTCTTTGCTGCATTGCTGTGGAAGACATGGAAGAGGACTAACGAGATGTCCAATGTCAAAAGTTTTGTTAGATGCACTGATCTGCTTGTGAAGCTTCGTGATTGTCTGGTGCAAAGAAGTGCATTCATCAGTCTCGAAGAAGATTCTGCATGTTCTTGATCTTGGCTGGAACCATCATTTGTAATTTTGACAATTCCTTCAGGCATTTATCCGATAATATTTTGTTTCTTATTTATTGATCTTATTGTCGACAATTGGTTTTTAGTATTGCAACTGCATTTTGATTTGAACGTAAGCAGTAAAATTTCAATAAGTACAACTTGTTAATAGAACAAATAATCAACATGTTGCAACTTGTTCAAATTCAGAAACAATCGTAACAGTACCACTAATACAGATACCTATAATATAGATACGACCAAATAGAGTAAACGATATGTTTAAAACATATCTATTGAATTAGAAAAAAAGGTTTACGAACAAGATGATGAAAACAATATTGAAAGAACTGACAACAGTAATACAATAGATAAAATACGATAATATCAATATTATAAAACCGAAAATTGTAACGATAAATTTTGTATCAAAATAAGCATGAAATCAATGATACAGGATAAACGAAACGTTGTCAATTACTAAAACAATTTATCAAGAGGTTTTGCATCAAAACACATACGGTATAAACTATATAGAAACATCTATGAAATAGAATACAACAACTTTATTCAACAACAAACGAAGAAACTGATAACTATATCAATATTAACAGAACCTGATGAACAAGATCCAATAGACGTTGGTATGTTAGATTCAAACTCAGAGGATAGCAACGAAATAAGCATCAATGAAACAAAAGATGAAACAGCTAATATTGAAAAAATGAACAAATTTTCAGACAATTAACAATGAAATATTTAGAGTGAAACAAACAAGAACGACATATTTCAGTGGAAGAAAAATACGAGACAACTAACAAAAATGAAACAAGTAACAACGAAACAACACATAATAAAGAAATAGCTTCATGATTAAAGAACATGACGTTAACCGTATTTACAGCTTTAATGAAATTTTAACCAGCGATATTAATTCAAACATTCAGTTACCAAATATTTAAAATACAGTTCATAAAAAGAAATGAAAAGAACAAAAAACTACATGGAAGAAAACATACCTCGGAAAAAAGCAGATGAACAAGATACCAATTGATGATTTCACTTTAGTTCTAGAAAAGAAACATGTCAATAACACAAAAATCAATGATACAATTCAGGTAATGAATCTTTACAAAAACATGACACATTATGATGCACATACAAAAGAAAGACAAACTTAACAATTTTGACGGTTTAAAAAACCTATTAGTGAAGAAGATAAAACATGTTAAAAGGCAACAAACAGTAGAACAAATACCATATTGGCAAACTAGCTTTAAAAATCAAAACCTGCATTAATATAACCATAAACAAAATCGAACTAATATTTCATGTTTTAGTTACATTGAATTATTGTTTTTAAAAACCACCTCTAACTTTCATTGAGGTATCTCCTAAATATTGTTTTCTGCCTAAATATGAATACTATAAACTGTTTCCTCCATATGGTGTCTACATGAACCCCATAAACAATCCTTTTTAGGCCCTTGTACCAACATAGAACCTTCAGTAGACAATATTTGTGGCATATTTTGTTTTTTTTGACATATTACAGTATATACAAAAAGCTGCATTAGCTAAGCAATTACTATCAAAATGTTCAACTTATCTTCCAAGTCTTTTACATTCATATTGTCTATTTGATAACAATAGTTTTGATAAGCGTATCATTATCACCAAATAAAACGGCTTTAGTCGCCGTTATTGCCACTTCACTGAAAGGAAATTGTACTGAATGAGGAAATACAAGAGAACTCCATCTATTCTCTCTAAAAAAGAGAATGGCAAAAAATATTGTTCATCATGAACACAAAAATTGTTAAAATTTCCGCATTTGTGTTTGCTTATCAAAAGGTAAAGGCCTTTTTGCTTACTACACAATCTTTTTGACGTTATACCGGCGGACTGTAAGATAGAATGCCGTTCTCAGGATCTTTTTAGTGCAGAGAAATGAACAGTTAGAATGCTAGGGTCTTACCAGTTAGAATGCAGGTCCAGAGTGTGAATGTTGACAAGTCTCGAAAATGCAGGTAAACACCAGGATTTGTTGAAAGATAGAATGCAGCCAAAGATAGCAAAAAAGGGTCACTATTTGCATGCCACCGTTTTTACAGAATAGACAAACAAAAGGAAAGGACAAGGAAGAAGAAAAAGGAACAGGAAACACATGGTAAAGAACAAGGCATGGAAGCAGAAAGGAAAAAACACAGGAGAGGAAACAGAAGAGGAAAGGGAAAGGAACAAGGAAAAGGAAACAACGGCTAAGACCGGGACATGGCAGCAGAAAACAGAAGGAAGGAGAAAGGAACCAGACAAGGAAGAGAGGACAGGACACAGAATAAAGTGGAAAGGAAAAAAGAACAATGAGACAGGAACAGAACAGATGCAAAAGGAAAAGAAAAGAACGAGGCAAGAGGAATGGAAAAAGGAAGAGGGAAGGCACATGGAACAATGAAAAGGATAGAATGCCCAATTGTCATGAAATTGTTTCTCCTCCCTCCTTCCTCGTTAGAATTTTGGGGGTCAAGACTGGCACTCCAACTGTCAGTCTGTGAGTATAGATTTGCAAACAGCATATGTGCCCAGCCTTTGCATGCTTGAAACTGCAAACCTCCAGAATAGACAAAAGTAAAGGACAAGAAAGAGGATCAATGAACATGAAGACATGGTCGAAAAATGCAAAAAAGAGAAAGAAAACAGAAACAGGAGAAAAGGAAAGAACACAGGAAAAACGGAAGGACGAGAAAAGGGAACAGTTGAGCAGGAAACAGATAAAGGCAAAAGAAAAGGAACGGAAAAGAACAATGAAACAGGAAAAGGCAAGAGGCGAAAGGACAGGACAAGGAAGAGGAAGAGGAAAGGTAAATGTAACAATGAAAAGGATAAGATGCTTCATAGTCCTGCCATTTATGGGATCAAGACCAAGATTCTATATAATTGTCAGTCAGTCTGTGAGTGAGGGGGTGTATGCATGCATAGATTTGGAAAGAGCAAATGTGCCCAGCTTTTGCGATGCAAAACCTACAGGATAGACAAACAAAAGGAAAGGACACGGAAGAGGAAAAAGGAACAGGAACAAAGGTAGACAAAGGTAAACGGAAAGCACAAGGACAAGGAACAAGGAAAAGGGCAAAATTGCTAAGAATGGGACATGGCAGCAGAAAGGAGAAGGAGGGGGAAAGGAACAGAAATGGTAACAGTTGAACAGGAAACAAACACAGGCAAAAGACTAGGACAGGAAAAGAACAATGAGACAGGAAAAGGCAAGAGGCAAAGGAAAGGAAAGAGGCAGGAGGAAAGGAAAAAGGAAGAGGAAAGGCACATGGAACAAAAGGATAGAATGTCTAATTTTCCAATCATTGTTTCTCCTCCCTCCCTTCCTTGTTGCAATTTTTGGGGATCAAGACTGGCATTCTAACTGTCAGTCTGTGCGTGTGTGCGTGTGTATGTATGCAGACACGTAAATTGTACACAATCCTCGGAAAGGGTTGAAGCGGGGATGGTACCCCCTGTCCAACTTGTCGACATCAAATCATCGTCGAGGGAGTAAATCTCTTGGCAAATTGCCCGATTGCCAATCCTCTCGAGCACCCAGTCCTTGTGACCTTGCACGGCCTTGACCGCAGTCGGCTGCCACCGCATACCTTTCCAGGTAGCACCTTCCACTCCGCCAGGCAGGCAAACACGAAGCTTGAACCTCCTGTCATCATTGTTGCGGATGCACAGCAACACTTCGAACTCCTGCAAATTGGCCACTTCATCCTTGAGGTGGCGGATGAGGGAATCCCAGTCCTTCGATCCATCATCGTTGAATGCCGAAGTCGGTTTCCGGCGCTGCTCCTGGACGCCCCTCAAGTGGTTGGACAGGCAGTGCGAGATCTCCACGAGTCGCTCATTCATCTGCCTGACCGGGACCTTGAGCATGTGTTCAGGGCCAATGTAGGCCTGAGCACCGGGCTGGAGCTGCAGCGGTATGTCACGTTCATGTGAATCATCGTACCGGACAATCTTCTGGACCTTTCGCCTCCCAGCCTTTGCACGCTGCAAAATGCAAACCTACAGAGTAGACAAGCAAAACGACAGGACAAGGAGGAGCAAAAAGGAAGAGGAAACAATTGCAGAAAAAGGAAATGGAAAGCACAAGGAAGAGGAACAGGAAAGGGACAAAATTGCTAAGAATGGGGCATGGCCCGGCAGCAGAAAAAAGGAGAAGGAGGAGGAGAGGAAACAGAAAAGGTAAAAAGGAACGGACACAAAACAAAGGAGAAAGGAACAGAAAAAGGAACAGGAAAACAAACAAACAAAAAAAACAGAAAAGGAACAGGAACAAAAAAACAGAAAAAGGAACAGGAAAGGAAAGGACAAAGGAAGAGGAACAAGGAAAAAGGACAAAATGGCTAAGAACGGGACATGGTAGCAAAAATGAGAAGGAATGGGAAAGGAAACAGAAAAGAAAACGAGGAAAGGAAACAGAAGAAAAGCGAAAGGCACAGAAAAGGGAACAGTTGAACAGGAAACAAAAAAAGCAAGAGAATAGGCAGCTGGATCAGGGCAGGAAATGGCATTTACATGCATAAATCCAGTACAAAAGACAGTGTTCAACAAACTTTGCTATCACTGTTTTATCTGTTTTAGGACGCGTCAAAGACCCAAGTTCAAAAACCCTGTAAAAATGCAGGTTTCAGTTAGAATGCCTCCAAAACGCCATCCCCTATGAAAAGTTCAACATTTTTCCATGCCCGGCGGTGCAACATGGCATTCTATCTTTCAGTCCGTCGGTATAAATCCCATATTTTTCCCAGCTGTCAGGGTTGTTAGATTTTATGTCAGCTGCCGTGCCCTCTCCTCTCCTCTCCTCTCCTCTCCTCTCCTCTCCTCTCCTCTCCTCTCCTCTCCTC